CTTGCCCGCAGGCACGCCGAACACGCACTTATCGGGGTTCAGCTTTATGCGGGCGGAGCGGAGGCTTTCGAAAGTTTCCGCTAGATCCGAGAGTAAGGTCTCTTGGTTGCGCGTCTTCACAACCAAGTCATCAACATAGGCCTCAACATTACATCCTATTTGGCTACCCAAAGAAATTCGAGTAGTACGTTGAAAAGTAGGACCTGCATTCTTTAACCCGAAAGGCATTATCGTATAACAATAAGTTCCTATGGGGGTAATGAATGCAGTTTTTTCCTCATCCTCCCTAGCCATGCGAATCTGATGATAACCAGAGTATGCATCTAGAAAACACAAAAGGTCGCACCCCGCGGTGGAGTCGACAATCTGATCTATACGTGGCAGGGGGTAAGGGTCCTTAGGACATGCCTTGTTAAGGTCGGTGTAGTCGATGCACATCCGAAGCTTGCCGTTCGCCTTGGGAACGACGACCGGGTTCGCCAGCCACTCCGGATGGATGACCTCACGGATGAATCCGGCCTCCAGAAGTCGCGCCACCTCCTCGCGGATGAAGGCTTGACGTTCCGGGGCCTGCCGCCGCACTTTCTGCCGGACCGGCCTTGCGCCCGGCCGCACGGCAAGACGGTGCTCAATCACCTCCCTGGGGACCCCGGGCATGTCCGCCGGTCTCTAGGCGAAGACGTCGGCGTTTGCCCGCAGGAAGGAGACGAGCGCGTCTTCCTATTTGCCGTCCAGAAGACCACCGATTCGTGTGGTCTTGGACAGGCCGTCGCCCAGGGCAACCTCTTTGACCGGGACCTCGTCGCACATGATCATCCGCTGCCTCGGGGCGGCTGGGACGGAGGTGCTGAGCCTCTCGTTGCCACCCTCGGGCTTGGACGCGGCGGCGAGGTGGTCCGCGCGCTGCTCCATACAAGCAAGCGCGACTTTGAGGTCGCCATGGACAGAGATGGGGCCACCGAGGCCCGGCATCTTCATCTGGAGGTAGGCGTAGTGGACCGCCACCATGAACTTCACCAACGCGGGCCTCCCCAGGACCGCGTTGTAGGGCAGACTGAGGTCCGCCACATCGAAGTTCACCCGCTCCGTGCGGAAGTTGGCGGATCCACCGAAGGTGACCAGGAGGTCGATATGACCTAGCGGCCAAGTGTGCCCCGGCGTCACACCTACAATCGGCTGGGACGGCCGAAGCACCATCCCCGGGGCCTTGATGGCGTCAAAGGCTGCGGGGGAAAGGATGTTGAGGGCTGCACCCCCATCTATGAGGACACGCCCCAACTTCACGTTGCAAACGGTGGGGGAAACCACCATCGCGATCTGTCCTCCCCGGGCAACGCACGGCGGGTGGTCGGTCTGGTCGAAGGTGAGGGCAACCTCCGACCACCGCGCCCGCCGCGTCGCCTCATGGGTAGGGGCCGCGGCCAGAAGCTCTCGCTTCATGGCCTTGAGGCTCCGACGAGAAGCGTGAGCGCATGCTCCCCCATCGACGGTGGCGATGGTGGCCCCAGGCTCCTGGAACCCTAGGTCATCGTCGCCATCGTCGATGTCCTCGGCGGGGGCCTTCTGCTTGGCCTCACTTCGCCGGTTGCCGGAGGGAGCCGCCGGGGCCTTGCCCTCACGGCGCTCCTGCCTCCTCTCCTCCTCCCACTTCCTCGTCCGCTCAGCCAAACTTTTGACCGCGCGGCAGTCCGCGAGGTCGTGGAGGGAGGTGTTGTGCACGGTGCACCACTTGCCGGTCGGGCGCTCCCTGCTGGGAGCGCCGGCCTCCTTCTTTTTGTCGCTCGCAGGCCTCCCCTTTCGGGTGGCCCGCGAAGCGCCCTCGACGGCGAGGACGTGACCCTCGTCGTCGGAATGGGCCGACCTCTTCTTCCTCCTCCTGTCCCGCCGCCCTGACCGAGCGGCGGATCCGGGGGCGGCCGAAGCTGCCACACCGGAACCAGTGGAGTTCCAGATCCAGGCCTCTTCCTTGCGAGCCACACGGTCCGCGAGCTGAAAAAGCTCCGCGGTGGTCTGGGGCTCCTTGGAGGCGATCTTTTCGAGCATGCGGTTGTGCCGCACGTCCCCCCTGAACGCGTAGATTACCGCGTGTGCGGGGATGCATGGTATGGTGTTGCGGACTTGACAGAACCGCTGAATGTACGAGCGAAGAGACTCATCGTCCCTTCGCTGTACCGCATGCAAGTCCGCTTCTTCACCTGGGCGCGGATATGTGCCTTGGAAGTTCATGGTGAACTGCTGGCACAAATCCTCCCAAGAGTGGACCGACGTGGGCGGCAAGTTCATTAGCCAACCCCGCGCCTGTCCTTTCAGGGCCATGGGGAAGAAATTCGCCATGACCCTGTCGTCACCCCCGGCGGCCTCGATCCCGGTCGTGTAGACCTGGAGAAACTCGGCGGGGTTGACGCTTCCGTCATATTTTTCGGTGATGGTGGGCCGGAACCTTGGGGGCCAACGGACGTTCCGAAGGCTCGCCACAAAGGCTCGACAGCCGACACCACCAATCGGGGGCACGGGGGGCTGGCCCCCGCGCCCGAACCGAAGTGGCGCTCCGAACGAGGAAGCGCCTTCCGTTGCGTGGGCAGCGTGACGACCATTGCGCCGGCGCTCGATACTGAGGCGGGCATCCAGCCCCCTACGCACATCTTCTTGGGTGGGAGGCGTTAACGAGGGAATGGCAGACGAACGGCGGGTAACGGCTGCCACTCGCCGCGCCCTCCGCCTCGACGACACGGAGCCGGCGGTAGCAGCGCCAGAGGCCTTGGTGGCGGAGGACCGCCCACCGGCGCCTAGGTGCTGCTGCGCCGTCATGACCAAGTCGGCCACGTCATCCAGCCAACGTCGGGCTGGAGTCTCTGGATCGGGGACAACGGGCGGGTGACGCAAGAGCGCGCCCGCAGCTTGGAGCGCGCCCTGGGGCGTGCTGCCATCGCCGTAGACGAGGAGGCGACGCTCCCCGTCTCGCCGTCCTTATCCATCGCTCGTGGGCGGCGAAGTCGCGGATCTCTCGACCCCCTCGAGCGCCTCCTCCCGCCTAAGACTTCGGCGAGAGGGGGGCGGTGGAGTACGAGCTCGACGATGCGGGTTCTGCTCGCTGTCGTCACCGCTAGCGCTCGGAGAGAGGTTGTGCGCCACTGCCCGTTCGGCCATTGGGCTGAGCGGGAGAAGCTTGGCGCACACGAAAGAGGACGAGGGCTTAGAAAAACACACGCGCCCCCTACCTGGCGCGCCAGATGACGGAGCGTGGGGCTCCTCACCGGGAGACCGCGCGGGCCCCCCTTTGCCGGTTCGGCCGGGGGCGCTGGGTGAGGTTCTAAGCCCTTGATCTGTGGAATGGTTCGCGAGAGAGCAAATGCGCAAGACACGGGCGATGTAGACAGGTTCGGGCCGCTGAGAAGCGTAATACCCTACTCCTGTGTTCTGGTGGATCTGTGTATGAAGGAGTTACAAAGAGCTGGAGAGCAAGAGAGTTCAAACTCTAGAGACCCTCTCACTCCTCTTTTCTCCAGTCCCCTCTCTTGGTAGGCATGGTCCTCCTTTTATATCTCAAGGGGATACCACATACACCATTTCTACCTACCCTTCTTTTGGGTGGGGACCCATCCTACTTTGACCAAAACTTGGCTCGTACCTTCGCCTGACACCGGGATAACCCTGTCCTCCCTCATTAATGGGCGGAGATTTGCAATGGCTGCTGTCCGAATGACCCTCCGATGGGATGGGTCATACCAACCTCCACTCCGCCGGAAGCAGGTGCAACGTGGAAGCACAGTTGTTTGCTGATGACGTGACCGGCGTCAGACCAGTCACGAACCGGTCATTCTTGTCTACCACGTGTCAGTTTAGCATGCCACACGTCAGCCCTTCTTCATAAAATGACTTCCTTGTAATGGTTGCGATGAAGCCTGGTATGAATCTAGCCGGGACCGACGTGCTAACTCCAGGAGTTCCCACGCCGGCTCCGTCTAGGGACAAGTGCCTAGAGGCTCTCATTATTCCGACGGGACGGGGCGAGGCGTGCGAAAGGCCGCCTGTTGCCACCTAACCCGCGATCTGACCGGTCTGTGACCGGTCACACACTGTGACCTGTCACGGACCGAACGAGTGTGCTGCGCTGCATTAAATGTGGCGTGGGGCGCTCGTCCAACCCGCAATAAACGCGGTTAGGTGAGCGCCGCTGTGCTCACCTAACCCACACACGTGGCGCCAAACCCTCAGGGGGTCAGGGCGCCCCAGCCCTCGGGGACGAAACGGGAGCGGCCCGGCCCCTCGGGGAGATAGAGGGAGGGGCGGCCTCATCACCCTCGGGCCCGACCCCCCCCCCCAAGGGGGTCAGGCCACGTGGGTGACCGCGGCTGCCCCAAACCTCTAGTCAAGATATCCCCGGTCCCATGTCACCGACACTATGAATCTACACATATTCTAATACTACGAATCTAGATAAGTCACTATTCAAATATAGGAGATATATCGTAATACTATGGGACTATTTGGCACAGCTCCAGCTCCACCCCTCCTGGAGCTGGAGCTCAGCCAAACAGTTTCAGCTCCACCAAAACTGGTAGTGGAGCTCTCACAAAATGAACTAGAGTTGTGGAGCTGGGTTTAGACAGCTCCACAACTCCACTCCAGACTCAACTCCTGGAGTTAAATTTAGGAGTTGGAGCTGTACCAAACAGACCCTATGAATCTAGATATATTTTAATACTACAAATCTGAATGAGCCTCTGTCTAGATTTTTCGTAATCATCGGATATATCCCATGAAACAAAAGGAGTGTATATTTTCCTAAAAGAATTTTAACTGAGAAAAAGATCACAAAGGGAGTAGATTATTTTGATTTTGACGCTGAATTAAGATGAAATTGGGAAACTGTTTATCGCGATGCAGATGTAAAAGAAGAATTTCCTTTTAAAAAAATATGAATCTGTTTATCACGAGTGCAGATGTAAAAGAAGAATTTCCTTTAAAAAAAATACGAATTCTCAGTGACACTGGGAAGCTTCTGTAATTGCATTACTTTCATTTTCCACATTTAAAAAATATTCACAATCGATTTTTCTCCCCTCGCAGCTAGTAGTGTATATACAAAAACCGAAAGAAAAATCGACCACCTTAAAACCAATTGAAACCAATTTGAAGAATATAATCCTGGTCCTAATCCACGTCCTCTATCCTAATGTTCCATGGCTCCCCTCTCTCCCCGCCGCGGCCGCCGTCTCCGAGCACCACGTAGCTCACCACCACCGCCCTCGGCCTCCGCCTCTCGCCGGCGTCCGCGCCGCCGCTCTGCTGCTCCTCTGGTGGTTGTTGTTCCGCCGCGGGGAGCTCGCGGCGGCAGACGGGGCAGCTCCCGTGGACGCCGAGCCACCGCTCGAGGCACTCGCTGTGGAACCGGTGCCCGCACGGCATCTCCTTCCCGGCGGCGAAGGCGTCCAGGCAGATCGCGCAGTCGCCCAGCGAGTCCCCGCCTTCGCCGTCCTCCCCGGCCTTCACCTCCTTCAGCGAGGCGATCGCCGCCTTCGACGCGGGGGGCACGCCGCCGCCGAGCCCGCCGGAGAACAGGTCGCCGCCGTCGTCGCCGATGATGATGTGCTGCACCATCATCACCGGAACCCCGCCTTCTCCCGGAATCTGCACGGACGGCCCCATCCCCATCGCCAGCAGCCGCAGGAGCCCCGCCGTCGCGAGGTCGACGCCGTTCGCCGTGGCCATCGTCGCCGGCGGAGAGAGAGAGAGAGCGCCGCCGCGAGGAGATCAACTACTTTTTTTGTTTTGTTTTTTTGTGTGCGATATTTTGCTGGCTTGAGGAGGACGGTATATATATGGGAGGGGAGCGGAGGTTGATGGTGGAGAAGGTTCTGGAAGATTCTGGGCTGGCTCCTCGTGTCACTGAGCTGTGGGCCCGCCTATTCTGGTTTGGGTCGGGCTCGCCGTTGGAGGAGATGACGTGGACGAGTCGGGATTTTTCAATTTTTGGATTTGTGTCGGTCGCTTTGGTAATGAGTTGGATCGTTCACCGGGCACGCGCGCGAGAGGTTCTTGAACGTTCCAGATATTTCCGTCTGACCATCCATGGGAGGCTGACTCGTGGGACTCACGAGGAGGCTATTTTTTAATTAAAATATTTAAAAAATAATTTTTTGTTTTAAAAATTTACAAATCAAACCGTCTGCCGACGGCAAGGAACCTAAATGCAAATTTTATAGCACAACTTGTTAGCTTTATGATTTTATAATTTAAAATTATATTATATAAAGTCAGATAAAATAAAACTTTATATCAAAAATTGTAGAGCTCAAGGAGATCTACAACTTTACAGTTAACAACTTTTTCATATAAGATGTTTTAGATATCCAAATATTCGTTACAAAATATAAAACATATTTTAAAAAATCTCAGATCTACATTTCAAACGACATTGGATGGAGATAAACTTTATATAAAAGTTGTAGATCCTGATGAGATCTATAACTTTGTAGTTTAGCACTTTTCCATTTAAAATTATTTGGAGTATTGAATAAGCATTATTAGTTTTTAAGCAATTAAAACCGGTGGAAAGAATTTGAACACAAATAAAAATTTTGCATTTAGGTCCCTTGCCGCTCTTTGGGAGGGCGATTTTTAAAAATCGCCCCTCTATAGGGCGGCAGGCGATTAGATTTGTAAATTTTCGAAAAAAAAATATTTTTGTAAATATTTTAGTAAAAAAATGTATAAATAGAAAAAAATGAAGCGGGTACGGGTGGCCCATGTGTATATACTATTTTTTAACCAGGCCCATGTATACTCCGACCTCTTCCTATAAGGGCCTTTTAGATCATGGGCCTAATTTGGTCATGCGAATTCGACCCAGATTTAGCTTTATTACATAGGCCCATGTATATTCCTTCTCTGGTCCGAAGCACTAAAAATGAGATGTAAAACATTCTCAAATTTGGAGTGTAGCCTTTGAATTCATAGAAATTTCATCCATGGAAACATGCTGATTTGAAAAGTTACGGTTACAATATCCCAGGTAAGGCACTAGGCCCATACAATTACACACGCATATAACTGTTTTTGAGTTTTTGATGGGAAGCCGGTATAACATCACGTCTTCAGGTGTTTATTTAGGTGCGGGAATGAACTGCCTACTAACAAACCAATCAGCCATTACACTATTACAGACGTGGCTGAAGGTGGCAGTCAATAGCACCAGTGCAGGTACGGCAACATCAGGCATTTTGCGTTGCTCATGCTCCGTCGTCGTCTTCGACATTGTTGACACGCTCGCACTCATCAATCCATTCGCTATATCTGCAAGAGAATAGAATGTAAGTAAAAGTGTGGCATAGGTGATTAGACTTTGCACAACTGGAATGAGTAAGTTGTTATTTGTAGGGAGTTTTAACTTACATGTCGATTGGTTCAGTCAGTGCTGCAACAAAGAAATCACAGAATCAGTATAGACTTGGAAAGTGCAGTTTACCAAAGAACAACGTTTTACTACCCACTGTTTTTATGCACGATATTCTTGTGCAGGTTTATTACTCACTCTATCTTCTTTTGCACCATCAGTTAACTCACACTTGCAACATGTTTATTGTCTTGATAGACATGAAGGTGTCAACATAGTGGCTACTGAGTGGACATCAGAGACAATATAGTTTGTTCAGACCAATTTTACTGAAAAACTAAACACCCATAAATAGTATGATTCCAAGTTGAATTTCCTCTCTTATCCTCAATTTGATCTTTACAAGAGATTCTGCTCTACTCTCTTAGTTCTGCTGTATTATCTCCAGTTGGTTGAAACAAAGTGACTAGGCAAAGAGTACAATACTAAAAGGACATGGCTATGAGAAGCTAACCTAATTTGTTCTCGAAGGTGGTACCAGTTCATTTCATGAAAGGAACAAAATAACAAATCCAATGCTCTTGCTTGCATTTTTAAATGAAATGAGAAATCTAAATCAGTGTACCACTAACGCATACCATTGACAGTGGTGCTGAAGTTTTCCTGACAGATCCTACATGAAGCCTCGCCGATCAGGTTCTTCATATCACTGGAAGAAGGGTGAGAAATGAGTCAAAATGCATTACCATAAGCAGTAGCAACAGACAGATAAGTAAACTTGTGGAAATTGTACTCACATCCGGCATTCAACACTACTGCCATGATTGCAGAATGGGCAGGAAAATACAGTATCAAGCTTGTCCATCCTCTTCTTAGGTGGTGGCTTAGCCGCTGACTTCCTCTTTCCCATGGCTCAAGTTACTTTCTTCCTTCAAAGTAAAACAAGGAACATTAACTATAATGTTCTGAATGACCATAAGTTCTACAAGTTTCTAGTTGTAAACATGACACAAAACATCCATAGGTAAATTCATATCGAACAGGCAATTTACGTGAGAAACTTCAGTGTGTTTTGAAGAATATGTATTAACACACACAACATAAGAAAGTTCATCTATGCTACCAAATTCTATTATCACAAAAGGAAGTGGCCAGTGAACTAATCACAATGGTGTTCAGGAGCACAAGATCCTATTTGTTCCTGCGATGGATACTACATCAAGTGTTCATCAATCAGTAAAAATTTAATAAAGATATACTTCATAGAGAGGGAATTTGGCATAACCCTTCCAATCCAATCAACCCAGAAAAATCAACCAACGACATGCTGTGAGAATCATTTTGAGTAATCTACAGCGGGAGTTCCTGACTGAAACTAAACTGATTACTCAAAAGAAATTACAAGACCCACATCTACATAGCTTGTTAATTTGCTAAGGATGACAAACGAGAAGGGGCTGAAGGATTTGCCATGTACTTAAGTCTTGTACTCCTATCCAAACTTCCTCTCTTCCATGACGATTTTGAAGCGGGATCGGGAAATTTGGACTAACCCTAGAGAGAGAAATCCTGAGTCATCATACATCATTCCTCTACCAACACACAACCAACCCACCCGATCAAACGTCAATTCAACTAAACGAGGTACAAAATAGTCAATAATCCCCTCGCGATTCCCTCACGGCAGCAGATCGGATCGATTCTTCCCTCACGATGAAGGGGGTTAAACACACAAACGATCCAAAAACCGCACACCTGTACCACCACCATGGCGCAGCACATAAAAGTAAAGAAAATTTCGGGCGGCGGCGGAGAATGGGCCGACGTGAACGCCGCCGATGGAGGCACCCGCCTGTCCCCCATGGGGGGCAGCCAGAGCCAGACCGTGGGGAGGTGATGGAGCCCGGGGCCTCACCTGAGCCGGTCGCCGGAGGTGAGGACGACGAGCAGCCGTGGGAGGGTGGCTGTCAGAGGCGGATCTCGCCGGAGGAGCTCCCGGGGCAGGCGGAGGGGAGACGGGGAATGCGGGGAGCTCGAGAGCGCGTCGGAAGGGATTGGGGGGAAAAAATGGAGGGTGTTCACACCCGCCGCTAACAAACGGTCAAGCTTGACCCAATATCCTATACTATCATAGAAAAAGAAGTGGTAATGGATTTGGTGATTGATACTCCTCGTTACCCAAAAATTAAGGTAATCTACATATTTTTGTTATGTTCGGATAGAATCTACTTCCTCCGTTTTATAATGTAAGACTTTATAGCATTGCCCATATTCATTTAGATGTTAATGAATCTAAACATATACATACATATGCGAGCAATGCTAGAAAGTCTTACATTATGAAATTGAGGGAGTATAATTTTAGCTTAGAAAAGAATAACATGAAGCATATTTCTATATGCGTGAATATCTTTACGTAGAGTAATTGTTTAGCGGCGGGGGAGAACTATCCTCTGTCTTATAGCAGGCTCAAACCGCGGAACGATCATGTGCTAGATCTGGAATAAGTACCAACATCGAGAATTATACAAAAGAAGAATTGGGACACTATAATAAGGGACATGAGTTCGCCCCGTAGCGTTGGCGGTAGCCTAGCATGAGGCAAGGCCAATCGGCGAAGAGCATAGAGGCAGAGGGGACGACAACGCCTCTATGTTGTTACCAAACTGTCTGTTATCGCCAAATCCATCCATGTGTAACTTTATGGGGATGATGTCAGCCGACTAAGGATTCACAACTGGCTAGCGGCGGCTATCCTAGCCGCTATCGATATCGAAGGTGCATAGTGGCGCTACCGTCGTCTTCAATATGCCCATGTGGCAGTGGCGAGGTCACGTTTTGATAACTTAATATGGAATTCCTTAACAAATATTAATATTAATGGTAAAACAATAGTAGTAATGTATAAAGATAAATAACGTAACCCATCATAAAAGAATAAATTTTGACGACAAATTTGTTTTTTTAACAGGGGATGTAACCAATAGGGTTGAAGGGTTTATTATTTTCAACCTTTCTAAAATAATATGATAATACCAAAATTTGAAAAGATAACAAAACCAACTCAAACTCTATCAAAACTTTCGTAACCTTATACTACGAAATTTTCTATAAAAATTTGAGAAGCCCTCAAACGAAACACCATCAAACACTATCTTCGCATACCAAAATATAATTTACCAAAAACTAAGTTCTTTGTTTTGGCAATAAGTGAAAGAAGCTCATACAAAACCAGAAAAGAAGATCCACAAAACCTATTCAGTCCCTGATATAGGATATTTATGGAGGAGTTTATATTAGCTACGACTTCTCATAGAATCTCTAGCTCCCTCAAAATAGACTAGACCGTTATCCAGAATATGAGAATATGTACTTGTAGAATCCAATTTTTTTCTACAAATGTGTCGCCATATTTTTTTAAAAAAAGTTAGCATGTATTTATATTATAAATTTCTAAATTACATTATGATTTTAGTGTATTTACAATGTAAGTTCCTAAATTACATATGTAATTACAATCATTTTCATATATAATTATACTAGATTTATACTATAATTATATTTGACATGTTTTTTTACCTAAAAATAACTCCCCAAACATGACCATACTCATATAGTAAAAGGTTGTGTTCGTATCTGGTGGCTGGAAACTCTCCCCTCCGGCACATAAAACGGAGCAGTTCATTAGCACGTGATTAATTAAGTATTAGAAAAAACTTAAAAAATAAATCAATATAGTTTTTAAAACAACTTTTCTATATAAATTTTTTACAACAGATACACCGTTTAAGCATGCGCGAGTTGGGAACTCCGAGTGCCGATCTCATCCCAAGTAACTTTGACCGGTACTACAGGTAACATGATCATACAGGTTAATTGCGCATGGCACATCCAACGGTACAGATCGGATCGGAGTCGCCTTCCATTTCGGCATCGGCTCCGCCCTCTCTTCTCTTCCGCTTTGCCCCCACCCTCTCTCTCTACTCTCTCCTCCCTCCCCACTTTTGCTTTCCCGTCGTCTCGTTGCCGACGTCAGATCGATCGCCTCGTCGTCGGCGCCGCAGTCGCGGGCGGGCGGGCGCGGTGGGGGTTAGGGTTTCCGTGGGGGGGGGGGGGGGGAGGGGCTCGGGATCCATCCATGGCTTGGCCCACGGGATGCCTCGGCTTCGAGGCCGCCGCCGCCGTCTGCCCCGCGGCCTTCCAGGCGTACCAGAAGTACTACGGTGAGCTCTCCGCCCCCTCCCCCCGCCGGATTCGCCTCTTTCGCTGGGGTTGGTGAACTCCCGTGGTGTGGTGTTAGGGTTTCGACCAGGAGAGGGGGAATTGTGGGGGGTTTTCAGTCGGTTGTGCTACTTTTGGGTTTTTTTTTTACTTGTCTGTGTTTTGGCGAATTTTGGGGAATTTTGTGCTGTTTAGGTTGATAATTCCGTTGGTCAAGTATCTGATATTTTTAGAGCTTTTTTCTTTTTTTTTTTGGCCTAGTTGATGAAAGGATGTCAATGGCTAAGCACTTCTCTAGGGTTTAAAAGACTGCAATAACTTTTAGTTAAGTGTGTGTTAGTAGGAAGACCAATTTTGGAGATAGTGGTCATGGTTGTTTAATCTGTACAACATGGTCTAATTAGAGGCTGTACTAGGCAATTCGTGGTACAATTTACTGTAAACAAAATTATTGGTACAATTCAGTTATCATGTCATGATTCCTTAGCACCTGAAAGCATAATTTGTTACGAAGTACAGAGATGATCTTTGATGCACAGTGATTGAACATCTGTTGGACTCTAGCGTTACTTAGATCATGTTTGCTGAATCCTGAGGTACTCTGATGCTGTCTAAATCTATTAGTTTGATCTTTTTTTTTTGGCTAGATATTGTATCAGCGTTTTCAAACGTGAACACACGAGAAGGATTGGCTGAGCTTTCACAAGTTATAGATGGCATGGAAGGATTGAGGTGAGCTATCTTGAATATGCTTTTGTAGGCATTGACAATTATGTGGTGTAAAAAAATGAGGCGTGCTATTTTTTTCTTTTATCACAAGATAGCTTGCACTTCTCACTTCTCACCTTTATTGTATCTTTACTTTTCAGTGATAAGATTTTATGAAATAAATTTTTTTAACTTCTACCTGACATGCCTACCGAGCTAAAGTATCGTTGAGAGTTAGCACAAAAGAAATCGATCCTTGTATCTCCTAATATTCATCTAGGGATGCAGTTTCCTGATACTTCTTTTTCCTTTGGCCTGATTACATTCTCTAATGTTTTCATACAGGGATGCGATATTTAGTGACATCCCCAAGCTCATGTCAGCTCTTGACTTAGTGAGTAATGCTCTCTAAATTGGTTATGCATTTTTTTCATATGCTTTTCAATTCGTTTTGTTGATGGAGAGTTCTCTCTTTTAGGATGATGCTCACCGATTCAGTATCTTCTATGATTTTGTCTTCTTCATTTCCCGAGAAAATGGCCAAAAGAACATCTGTAAGACCACCTATTTTAAGCATGACCATGTATGCTACTTATATAGTTTATATACCCCTAGAAGACTGATAAGAATGCAACCTTTCAATTTCATTATTTTAGCTGTTCAGAGAGCTGTGGGAGCATGGAGGATGGTTCTAAATGGGAGGTTTTGGTTGCTTGACAGGTGGTGTAACTTTGTTGAGGTATGCAAATTTCTGCTTCATAACTGATCTAAAATTTCAATTGTTTCACCTTGAACAATTATTAGGTCTGTTATTCATATGCAATTATTGCTTCGGCATTATTAGTGGGGGGTTCTTTAGTTTGTGAAATTATCATAGGGATTTGCATGGTTTACATATAATTTTTTTCTGGGTTTCTTGTTGATGAATCAACCAACAGTTTCTTTAATAAGAATACCTTAGATATGTGAATGGGGCCAAAGGACAATAATCATCTAGCATGAATAAGTGACTCCATCAGTTTCACTGAAGTGGTGGCTGAACTACACTTTGATGGTTTGAATGTTCGATAAATGAAATCATGAATACATGATGACTGTATAGGCTTGTTAAGGTGTATTTGAGCACATCAAATATCATTATCTTTGTGTCATTGCACTTGTATTGCAACACTTACATTTCTTCCAAAATATGAAGTTTGTACTAGTAAAAATATGGTGAAGAAAACTCTAGATTGTGTTGGTCAGTATTTGGTATTGTGCATTTAAATCATTTCAGTTGTACATGTAAATCAACCTTGAATCCTAGGCACTTAACAAAAAAGAAATTCTGGATTGGGGTTAATTTTAATCTAAGATGAGCGTGTAGGCCTTCCACTATAGTCTATGGTAGTTATTATAAAAATATTGAGTCGTCTGGGAACTACCTTTATCTTTTGCATTTTCATTCACACGAGAATGTGCAAGGAGTAGACTTTCCTGTATATTTTTAGTTGAGCTGTATCTTTCCTTTCTCAGAAGTACCAACGTTACAACATAACAGAGGATGTCTGGCAGCAGCTGCTAGCTTTCAGCAGGTGTGTAAATGAAGATTTGGAAGGTTATGATCCAAAAGGTAAAGTTTAATCTATTTCATATGATTCTTTTGAGGATTTCTATCATTTATTTGCAGCTTCCTCTGTAGATATAGCCCAGTAACAGTTAAGGCAAATCTAATGTTGCTATTCTTTTCTGTTTTCCTAGGTGCTTGGCCAGTTCTAGTTGATGATTTTGTGGAGCATATGCACAGGTTTGTCATTCTTGTCCTTAGTGCTCATTTAGAGTGCTTTCCAATTGAGTTTATTGATTCTGTTCCCATTCCATAAACCTAAAGCATTCAATTTTCTGATATGACAATTCAATTCAATTTAATGGTACTGCAATTGAAAAATGTAGTTTAGAATGGGATATTAATATTAGTATTAGCATTGGTGCGCAAGTACCTTGTGAGTTTTGTCTTCACCCTCAGGTGCCAGAAGTCATGATACCTGTTGTTTTCTGCATCTTGAACCGTATAGCATGGTTTCACTTATATTTGTTTTCTGCATCTTGAACCGTATAGCATGGTTTCACTTATATTTATTTTTACTAGGTATATAGTTTTTATGCTTCCTAATAAAGGCAATTCACAGAACTTGTGGTAAAAAAAGACTTGACAAAACTTAAATTATTTTATGCAATAAAGCTCCACATTTGCTTCCAACTGTTATGCTTGGTGAATGATTTTAACGGATAGGCAGTTAAGGAGCTTTTGGGATTTAAGATTAGGCACAACTTACTTAAAATAGTTAGCAACTTTGCATTGTACGATGTGGCTATTCTCGCTGCACATGGGATGCATATTAATAGTGATTGTATTTTGAAATAGTAACTATAGAAAATAATGTGACACCAGATTTATCCTACTAAATACATCTTACATGACAATAGATTCGTGGAAGCCTTCTCCCTACTAGTAGTACATAATAAGAAGACTTCCATAATATGTTTACAGATATTTGTATTTCACAAAATGCTTCTATAACTTTTAACATACTCTATGGGCTGGTCTCAATTACTTTTTTCCTAGCTGTATTGCTGCTTATGAGTTTGCTTTTGCAAAATGTAGGATTTATAATTCCTGTGATTGCTCCAGTGCGATGGAATCACAATTGAACATTTCCAATACATTTGGAGGTAATGTTTTGAGGCAACACTACATATACTAGTTATTTAGTCAGCTTTGTAGTTATTCCCAAATTTTGTGTGACAGGAATAAATCCATTACCTGGATCAAAGAGGAAATGCCCTACTCGTCTTAAACCTAATGAGGATGTGGACCTTTCGGATAATTTTACGCGCTCAGTCCATCTTGCGCCTCTGAAACGGCTGAAGGAGAGCCCTGTCATTACTAAGTATGGAGTTTGGGAATACAATGCAGGTACTCCTTTGGTTCACAGTCCATCAGATTATTGTGATGATGCAAATTTGCACAACCCAAGAGGTTGTCTTCAGAACTCACCTTCTATCGTCGAAGATTGTTTGTCAAAAGGATTTGAAGGTTGCATTTCAATGAAATGCTCGTTTTAATATAATCAGGAATACATGGCTTATTCACAATGACAGTCCATAAACTTCATGATTTTCCAGTGTGAGCATTCTGTATCTGTAATTAGTCAATTTTTGACTGGTAATATTATTAGTCTGTACCCTAATGATGCCATTATGTACTTGAGACGAAATATGTGCAACTGACGTCTCTGCTGTAACTGAAGACTGTAACCCTTTCTTGTAGATCATTCCTTCTACCGTTTTATCTTGCCTGATAGGTAATGTTAGAACTTTGTATTGGGCACACTGCAATAAAATATTGGCAAGTGCGAGTGGTAAGAGGAAAATGCGTGACTTTTTATCGCTTGAGTTCATGGGGCTGTTATGTTCGGCAAAGAAACTTTGGCTAAATTTTGCATCAGGATGTCAGTTTGGGCACAATGTTTGACCTGGTTTAATGAGTTTGGTAAGGTTTTAGCCATATCTTGCCAAAAAAAAAAATGATATACAAACTCCCGAGTTACTCGCACCCAAAGGGCCAAAAAGGTTTGCTTTTTACCCAATCATGCATGTATCTGCATGTGTACAGTCGGAACAGGGACACTGTGCTGGAAAATTGTGTTCATTCACCCAAGGAAGTAATCCAAGAAAAAAAAAAGGAGTTCATGCGCTCAAGGAAGTAATCCAAGAAAAAGATCAACAAATTGGTGTTTCGTGTTAACTAGAGTACATAACACATCACTGATATTTGATTACAACACATCCTAGTATTCTGTGAAAGTTTCCCTGGAAGTCTAGCAACTGAAACAGGTGTTAGTGCACAGATCAACGCCATATGCATCTATGATCATGATCTGAAATGTCATCCGAAGAATTTATACCCAGAAAATAATTGCAAACAACATTTCGTACAGTCAAGGTGTTGTCCTCGTCATTGGCAGCAGGCGAAATTGCCAGTGAAGTTAAATCCTAGAAGCAAAAATGCTAGTCCTTGGAGATACAGATTAAAATAGTAGCTAGTTTTCCCATGGAAGATAAGGTTATATGACGCACAGAAGATGAGAAACACCGAAAATCCAATCTCGGGAAGATTAATTCTGCAAGCAAAAGACAGTATCAATATAAATTGTAATTCATACAGCAGTCTAGTATAAATCATGATATAGATAGCCTTGAATAGAGGTCATACCTGTCTCTTAACCTTTTCCGGGTTTTTGGAAGCAAAGGAACCTGAGTGTCCTCAACACTACTCCCTATCTTCTTCGTCACAGTCCACTTGTTAAACCCAGATAATTCCATAAGGCCAGTTAGTGCAGCTCTCATGCGAAGCACAGTCATCACACTCTCAAATAAGATCCAAAACGGCATTATGTGTAGATTTCTGAAGAGACAAAGAATAACATTAAGTTTTAGTTTATGGGGGAGGGCATATAGGGAACATTTTAGAACTAAACACACAGGCAATGCAGAACTGACCTTGGATTTCTTATGGTTGTGATAATCAGAAGTGCCATAGGAATGTAGGCGACACCCCAGATTGGTATGAATAGCTCTGGGATCATGACCGACAAAGGGACTATGATGTTGTAAAGAACACAGGCAACCATAGGGGCTACAACTCTCCGCACCAAAAAGAAGCTATAGAGCATATAGAACTTCTTGAGGAGCGATATATCCTAATGGAACAACGATGGGGTGAATTTTCAGATTTATTGTATTTGCCAATGGTGTGAGAAAAGAAGCTCACCTTGGCTACCAAAACATCCATTGCTATCTTTCGGAATAAGTTTGCACCACCGCAGGCCCACCGAAATTGCTGTCGACAGTAGGCTCCATAAGTGGACGGCAGTTCGCTCTTGACCTATGACATGTTAACATAGCCAAATCAGACTGTTTTACTTTAAAATTCATTATATTGTTGAGAACTCTATGGTAGCAAAAGGTTTGCTCACTCTGATATCCCCAACATAGATAAATTTCCAACCATTTAAGGATGCTCGAACTGCCAAGTCCATGTCTTCAACTGTAGTGCGGTCCTTCCAACCTCCTGCCTCATTGATGGCTGTTGTGCGCCACACTCCAGCGGTTCCTGATATACCCAACATAGATTGTATTTTTGTAATACTACAAATTATGGACTTGTTTTTTTCTCTTTATGGTGTTTAGAATCCAAAAGTTATAGAGGTATGTATGTACCATTAAAGCTGAAGAAGGCAAAGGTTGCTGATCCAGCTTCCTGCTCAACCTTGAAGTGGTAATCAAAAAACATCTTCTGTACCCTTGTCAACAGGCTTGTGGTGTCATTCACTGCAAAATTCTGTCAATTAAGAATTGGATCGATCAGAGTAATAAAATGTTATCTTGTTTGAGAAGGCAATATGCTAGCAGTTTTCTCATGTCATTTTTTTTCATGCCTATGAATGTGTAAAGAGATATTTTCTTTGTCAGCTAAGACAGTGAGTATTTTAAAGCAGATTTTTGTGCAAAGTTTCTGAACAATGAGCTCTGAAATGGAGAAAGTATTCCTGTGTGATAATGTACCATGACATAGAAGCATATAGGACTCAAAATATTATCCAGAGCTATTCTCTGTTCCATGGCCTAATCAAAACTATGCATTTGTGATAGATATCTGGAAGAGTTATGCTCCATAGCTCACAGGAATGAAGTCCTTACCGAAGGCCCACCGAGCTTGAACAAGGGCGACATTCGGGTTGTGCATGAGGAATGGGACAGTTCGGAGCAGGAAATTTGGCTCAGGCTGGAAATCAGCGTCAAATATGGCAATATATTCGCACTGCTTGGTATAGTCACATTCCATTCCTTTCTTCAGGGCTCCTGCCTTAAACCCCTTGCGGCTGCTTCTTGTGACGTACTTGATATTTACTCCTTTGCTTGCCCAACTCTCACATTCAAGCTCCACCAAATTCTGCACGCAAGAAGTAATTTGATCATCTTGAGATTACACGTCTACACTCATTAATGATAAATACAAGATTGATAGATGATTATGTATTGTCTAAAATGTTCGATTGTACTTGAAATATAATGCCCTCAACCAAGGTTTTGTTCAGTAAGACAAATGAAAGAGAAGGTTCACAAGTGGCTGTTGTGCACAAGCGGATGTGCTGTAGTGTGGTGCCACCGTGTTTGAACACATCATGTTGTCATTGGATGGCATAAGATAAACCGTATTTGATGATTGTGGTAGAATGATAGATACAGATCTGATGGACTGATGGGCGGGGCTACCTGGTCACCTCTGTTTTTTTCAGAAAGTTCATTGTGCCTGCCAGCTACTGCTGCCTCGTTGTACTAAGCCAACCCATTCAGTGAGCCAGTTAAGTGTTCAACAACAAAAATTAAGCAATCGAATATGAGCAATAAGTACGCTAGAATCGATCACAGAAGACAACTCTTAGGTCTTAGCATCTTTTGTTTCTTATTGACATGTCCTATTTACCTGAATTATTTTTTGTGAAAATAATGTATATGTCCTCAAAATGAATCATCATAAAATTCTGAGATAGCAAAGGACTTTTGAACTGTGAAGATAATAACATAGCAAAGCATGAATGCACAAAGGACTTTTGAACTGTGAAGATAATAACATAGCAAAGCATGAATGCATGATATATTACAAATAAATGCCATGTAGATGTCTTCTACTAGCAGCTCAAGATATATGAAATAACATGGCAAAGATTCCTCCTATAGGAGAGGGATATGCCCAATCATTGAACCATTCATCAGATCCATCATCCATGACATTGGATAGTGGGCTGCAAGCCAAGTGGGAAGTCAGCCAGATAGGGGAAAAGTGAGCCAGGGCAAATTTCAGGACTAGGTAAATGAGCTTATGTAATATACTATAAGTGCATGCATCTCCCATCAGTAACATCAAGGACTAAACTCACTTGAATCAATAATGCTGATTTACTGAGTTTAAAGTGATCTATCATACCCCATGGTTTCTCTGTTGTTACAGATTACGCTCAAATCATTGCATTAACCTCATCCATGTGATGAAACTCATCACACAAATATGTGGTTGGATGTCCAGATCAGATCCAAAATTCTCGAAGTATCCTTTGCCGTTGGCAATAGGGCTGTAACTGTATTGCGGGAGATTAAAAGAGAGAGAGAGAGAGAAAGAAACAGCTATTGAAATTTCTCACTTCAGATACATATTCGTATTATTTCTCTGAATACTAAATTAATTATTGTGCTGTCAGACAGGGGTCCACTGTACCCATGTGAGGGAAGGGTCCAGACTCCAAATGAATTGTTATCGTTCTCCATCCAATTCAATCTTGGTGTCCTCTTTGACTGTAGCATGTTATGTACTTCATTTTCATATAATCATATGCTCCAAGTCCCATCTCCCATAATAACAAAAAACACTAGTACTATCGAGTCTATCTACTAGTGAAGTGGTGATAGCGAAAAGGTTTTACCAATTGACACTACTACTGTGCTAGCTCCCTCAACGTTGGAGTAGCTTTCATGTGTAATCCAACTATACCAACTAAGATAAGTGGTATGCTATGAAAGCTACCCTTCTGTCAAAACTTTTGATCTGAACTGTCCAATCCTTTTCCCACCAACAAATGTCTCACTTCTTTGAGATAGAACTTAGGTAGGTACTGATAGGCTCTCTACTCCTAAAACAGAAAGTCCTTGCTAGGAACTAGGAAATCTCCACCCATGCTGATGCAACAATAGAACAACACTACAACAGTACTACTACTAGAAAACGAGGAGTTCATCAGTTTTACCTTGATGAACGGATCGGTGGAATCGTCCAGCACCTGGACTATTAGCTTGTCCTTTGGCCATTTGAGCTCACATGCCGCCCCAATCGACAGCTTGTACACCTACACACAGCCCATTCCTAGCAGGATCAGATAACATATACCAAAATATTCAATCTCGCAAGGCAACAACAGGAACAGGAAAAGGTAATCAAACAATAATACAGAGAGAATGATTAGTATTTTTTTTGTTCCTTTTTACAGTTAATTTTTTTTAGCGGTATCTTCTCACCTCCAGCTCATTGTACATGGGTATCTGGACCATGACCATGGGATATTCCCCTCTCCCCTTCTCCTCGTCGGCGCCGGCGAGGGGCTCCCACTTGAACCTCCACTCCGGCCGCCACCCGATGGCCTTGACCCCGAGGCTGACCGCGCTGTTGAACGTCGCCTCCACCACCAGCATCACCGACATCACCATGCACACCCACACCGCCACCTGCAGCGTCGGCGCGATCACCCCGCCCCGCACCCGCACCCACACCTCGTACCACGCCGCCACCCCCACCGACACGCCCCCCGCCGCCGCCTCGTCCCCGCCGCCCAACACCCCGATCAGCCACGGGACGACCCCATCCCACTCGAACGCCCCGCCGCCTCCAACCGCTGCGGAACAGCAGGGAAACGACGTCAGATCACGCGAGACAGCGAGCAAGGGGGGCTAAAAAGTTGCCAAAAACGGGGGAATGTACCAGCGAGGGGGCGGCGGAAGTCGACGGCGCCGAGGGAGGAGGCGGCGGAGAGGGCGGCGGCGGCGGCGAGGGCGAAGACGGCGGCGCCGCCGATTTCTCCCGCCTCCACCATGGGTGCCGTGTGGGTGGAGGTTGCAGTCAGCGACGGAGAGAGAGAGAGAGAGAGAGAGAGAGAGAGGCAGGGCGTGATGCGATTTGGGGATTTCTGCTAAGTCCACACTGATTTCTTCTTCTGTTGTTTTATTATTTTTCTCGTGCTGACTCCATCTCAATGGGGACAGCGGTGCACTACCACTGCTGCACTTGATTTAACGAAGTATTTATACTTGTACATTGATGATTGGAGTATCTTGTTAGTACTATCTCCATTCCAAAATAAATGTAGTTGTGGCTCGTGGATATACATATTCAACGTTTAACCGTTCGTCTTATTTAAAAAAATATAAAAAAATAAGAAAAAAATATTTACACGTAAAGTACTATTTATTTTTTATCATCTAATAACAATAAAAATACTAATCATAAAAAAATTTCAATTAATACGAATGGTCAAACGTTGAATATGAACAGTGTAAAACTACACTTATTTTAGGATGGAGGGAGTTTTTTTTTCTGGGCCATTAGATAAGCTGACATTGATATTTGACCAGCTGATCTTCCCCAATAGAATATATGCAATGAGCAAATAAAATAAAAGGCAAAAGGAGATATGGTGAGGGTTGCCCACTTAGATCATTATTAAGTGGATTATGTTCACGGATTGCTGATTTGATTATACGTATAAGTTAGTTAGGTTATGAGATAACTTAGAACAAGTGATGTAAACAATGTAGTACAATATAATTTTTTAAATGCATTTTTGAAATGTCTGACTTTTTTTTGGCCGTAGGCCCTATCATATAAGTAAAATTGATTATTTCACTTTTTATATGTCATATGGTGATCTGATCATTTCAGAACTACACGAGCTCTGTATGTTCAGAAATATGTCGGCTTAGCCAAAACTACGACTCTAGCACAAAATGTTTCTCACCATCTTGAAAAGTTTAAAGCCTACACTTGACTTTTATATCACGAAAGTTGTTGAGGAAAAATGATATTGTTCCTCAAGTTGATCCCAAATATTACAACATTTGATCCCATTCTCCAGTATTTCTTTTTAGTTTCATTTCACATGCATTCTAGTTGCAGCAAATCAATGTCTTTTTATTAACAGAGGCGTGGACAGTTACGGGTATACCTAACATTATGCTCAAACCGATCTTGCCATGCTACTGGCTGAATTTTTTTTTTTACTGCATCGTGCGGTGAGCAGATCTGATCCAGTGGCGGAGGTGAGCGTCTCCGTCATCTGGGCTCACACACTGGCATAGTTGCAGCTTTGGTTTGGATTGCATATGTTCCAGGGCCCAGCAGTAACAGTTCTTGAGAGAGAGAGAAGGTTCATTCCGTTTCGATCCTTCAGAAGTTCAGATAATGCAGTGTCATGATTTGATCAGTTATGTTTTTGGGATTTTCGGTGCAATTTTGTCAATGCAGGGCATTGTTTAATGTGACGTATCTTGAATTATTTTTTTAAAAAAATTAGGGGAGCAAACGTGTATTATCATACTACTAGTATGTTTTAGGCTTGTTGATTAGCAAAGGAAGTAATATCTGAAAACAAATATACGGAGCAGGTCTCATGGACCCTACAATAGTACAGTGATGATGGTGTAGCAGGAAAGGATAATGGCACGTTTTTGTCTGATCCTTTTTTGTTGATGAAGTACTCAGACCGCGCCAAATGATTGAAGGCCAGCGCAAACGATGATTGCAGGTACGAGTAAGATAGGCTTTTTTTTGTGAGAATGCCATCAAGTTCTCATGATGAATGCCTATCATTTTCAAGGTCTCCCTTTTTTGCCTTAAAAGAAGCCTAAGATGCATGCTTAATTTCACAATTAATTGTAGTTGAAACACCTACTCCTACTCGTTTGACAAATCAAGTCTCAACTGAATTCTGAACACACAGTTTCAAAAAAAAAAAAGGGAAAAAACTCTGAACACACAATTACCAACCTGAAAATGTAATTCGACGCTACTACTGGGCCAAGCCGTTGTTGTCCACAAGGCGACAGCCCACTAGGCCCATGGGCTCAAGGCACATGGCAGGAAAAGCCCAGTGCATTGATCTACTGTAATTAAGCAGAAAATAGTGATTTTGTTAGCTTTTTTGAAATCTCAATATATTCGTAAAACTATATAAAAAAAGTATTCATGACAAGCGCTTGATAATAAAAATAGTAAAACAACAATTTTCTTCTAAACAACTTAAACAAAATTCATGCAATTTTTGTTTGAGAAAGAAAAGCTACGGTCAAAGTATACTTACCAGATAGTAGCAGAGTAGGCATGTTAGGTGTTTTCAAAATCAATAATTTGGTAGTACAATAATTCCTTCCTCAGTAATCTGCAACCACATGCGTATTTTTGTCTCGCGACAAATTTTGTGGCCCTGGTGGGCTCTTCTTGATCAGAGAAAATCTCACAAGAGGGCCCAATAATTTGCTCGATCTTGTGGCGTTTCTTCCTCGTCTCCATCTCCACCGCTAGTGCTTGGCTGCCTCCTCGTCAGGTTCTCTCCTCTTTCATCCTCTTCAAATTTAGTTCTATCTGTCTCCAATTTACTGTGGTTAATTAGGTTGCGATTTGCAAGGATAGAGGCAAAGATTACTATCTGCAACACTGACTTCTTTTGTTGTTGAAGGAAACATATGCTCTTACTTTCAGTTCAGATTTTTCTTTTCATTTTCTCCGTTTGCAATTTGCAGTTCTGTTGTTGTTGCAGACGATGATGGTGTGTGTCGGAATGCATTAGCCCATAGTTCTTGTCGATGTGGTCTTTTTTTTCCTCTCTCTTTCTCTTGATTGATATGGAATAGTTACACAGTTGAAATTGTTACAGATGGCCACACCAGTGCCTGTCACAGAATGCTATGATCCTATGATGTTATCAACATTGTTAACCAAACACCAGTCAACTTCAAATATCTGAGGATTCAGAGTTGTGCTCATAAATTCAGAATTGCGTTTTGACTCTCATGCTGAAGCAATTACTTTGAGTTTTGAATTGTGATATTGTTTGATGAATTGAATTCTGTTGGCAACAAACAACTTAATATCTGAACATTTCTGCATTATCTGTTCAGATTCTAGGAGATGGCATCAGCAGCAATGTCTACTCTGAACCTGAGTTCATCTCCTCTGACCAAGCAGCAGCTCCGATTTGGAGCCAGCACACTCAGTGCAGAACACGTCAGTGGCTTCAGCTCTGCAAGGCCAGCTCCATCGTTGTGCTGCTCCAGCTCTCACTGGCGAGCGGTCAAGCTGAGACCGAGACGGCGGCCATGGCGGCGCGCCGGGAACCGGGTCGTCGCGCAGGCCGGCGGCTACAAGGTCGCCATCCTCGGCGCCGCCGGTGGGATCGGGCAGCCGCTCTCGCTCCTCGTCAAGATGTCGCCGCTCGTCTCGGCGCTGCACCTGTACGACATTGCGAACGTCGATGGTGTCACCGCCGATCTTGGACACTGCAACACGCCGGCGAAGGTCGCCGGGTTCACCGGAAAGGAGGAGCTCGCCGGTTGTCTTGCCGGCGTGGACGTCGTCGTCATCCCCGCCGGCGTGCCGAGGAAGCCAGGGATGACGCGGGATGACCTGTTCGGCATCAACGCCGGCATCGTGAGGGAGCTCGTCGAGGCCGTGGCGGACCACGCGCCGGCGGCGCTGGTGCACGTCATCTCCAACCCGGTGAACTCCACCGTGCCGATCGCCGCCGAGGTGCTGAAGCGGAAGGGCGTGTACGACCCGCGGAAGCTGTTCGGCGTCACGACGCTGGACGTCGTGCGCGCCAACACGTTCGTCGCGGAGATGAAGGGCCTCCCGCTCGCCGACGTCGACGTCCCGGTGGTCGGCGGCCACGCGGCGGCCACCATCCTCCCGCTGCTGTCCAAGGCGAGGCCCAAGACGGCGTTCACCGATGAGGAGGTGGAGGCGCTGACGAGGCGGATCCAGAACGCCGGGACCGAGGTGGTGGAGGCCAAGGCGAAGGCCGGCGGCGGGTCCGCGACGCTGTCGATGGCGTACGCGGCGGCGAGGTTCCTGGAGGCGTCGCTGCGCGGGCTCGACGGCGACGCCGACGTGTACGAGTGCTCGTACGTGCAGTGCCAGGCGGTGCCGGAGCTGCCGTTCTTCGCGTGCCGGGTGAAGCTGGGCAGGGACGGCGTCGAGGAGGTGGCGGCGGCGGGGGCGGAGCTCCGGGGGCTCACGGAGTTCGAGGCGCGCGCGCTGGAGGCGCTCAAGCCGCAGCTCAAGAAGAGCATCGACAAGGGCGTCGCCTACGCGCAGCAGCAGCCAGCGACGGTGGCGATGGGTTGAAATTTGACATACTTTTCGCAGCATTTTGCGAGTGATTACCATTTGCTGAATGCATTTCCGTGCCAATTTTGCAGTGGTGCTCCATTAGTGATGACCGACAAAAGAGAGATGAGAGAGTATGACTGGTGGACCCCATCATTTTTTATTCAAAAAATGCTGACTGGATTGCCACACGTACGCTACGTAGGACAAAACTGCTTTAGATTGGGTCGAGGGGGGTAAATCATCTAGAATTAAAAGTTTAGGGCGAACAATGTCTGGTTTTCGGGACAAGGGGGTAATTCGATCGATTGTGATAGTTCAGGGGGTAATTCGTACTTTTTCCTTTTTTTTTTTTGACTAAGCTGCATGCATGATTTTCTTAGACGGACCATATAAGATTTCGTCTATGAAAATCATATTTTTCTAGGTGAACCCTTTAAGTAAAGGGGACCGTCTGAAAAAAATAATTTTCACAGGTGATACTTGACTGCGCGACCTCTACTTCCTCTGTTCCTCACCACGCAGATGCCCAGCTACCGCTGCTCCCTTCAACATTGCGGTGGTCATGCTGCAGCAGGAAAGTCATGCAAGCACTGCATCGTTTCGCAGACAGCGACGAAGGGCTTGTCCGACAGCAGGGCGATGCCATTGGCCAACACGAGGCCATCGAGCATGCCAGACGCCTTGCCGGTGCGCAGGTCGTCCCCTAGTGTCCTCCACCGTTGGCGTCCATGGGACAGTCCCAACCTAGGTAGGTAGGGAAGCTCCCCATCAACCCAATCTGGCAATCCCAGTGACCATGAGGCGTCTGGTCTGTGTTGCAGGACACACGTATGATGTAAGTCCGTCGCCGGCGGCCACAGCTACGGCGACTGCATCGAGGCCTTCCAGTGCCAGACCGACAGCGCCAGCGCCACCGTCGCCGATGAGCGCGGCCTCGCTGGCCGGCAGGCCGCCAACACCACATGCCGCGCCGAGAGACTAGGAGGAGGACACTCGGAGGCGGGGCCGCCTCGGCGTGAGCACGGAGGTGTACTCGGACGCCTTGGACAAGCTCGGCGATGCGGTGTACGCGCCCGAGACATGCGAGGACGCGTTTGGCGAGGCTGACGGTGAGCCGTCCGCCGACGAACTGTTCGTCGCCGACCTCCTACCGCCGCTGCCGCCTTCTGCGGATGGGCGCCACCCCTTACCTCGCCGGCGAGCTCCTGGGGAAGACAGGGAGGCTTCATAACGCCTCAACAACACACTGACATGTGGGCCCGACATATGCCACGTCAGTAAAACTAGGGAAAAAAATTGATCTATACTGTTTTGGGATCAACTTTGAACGGTTTTAAATAATTAAGAGGTAGAGATTTTTGATATTGGGGAGTAAGGACCTCACTACGTAAAGTTGAGGGACGTAGGTGAACTTATTCCCTCTCGTGCTAACATACAGGCCATATTGTGGGAACGTACAGCCCAGCCCATCTCGGACCACTTAAAACTAACCCCCTTACTTGCCGAGTTGCCATGCTAATGTAGGCCTGTATGGTGAGAGTTTTTTTCCCCAAGAGATGCCCCCCTTATTTTTTACCATTATCATAATTGGAATCAGTAATTTTACAAATGGCTCCCTGCATTGGGTCGCTACTCGCTAGCCTAAACATTGCCCCTTATTTTGGACTAAAGTTATGAAAATGGGCCCTCGTTTATGAAGTAGCTTATAGTTTTTGTTTGCTCAAAAGAAACCTACTACTTCTGCTTTTCTCTTTTTTGACACAAATAATAGTCCTTCCATATATTCCCTATATCTCAAAATGTAGCAATGCCCCATATCCAGATTCAGATTAGTTATCTATGAGTCTAATCCTATTCTATTCTAAATTGTTACTATATTTTAAGATAGATATAGTAATTGAATAACGTTATATATTCAAGACCAATGAAAATTACACATGTTGTTGACCGAAAGCTTAATTTTACACATGTTTTCGTTGCCTGCTGTGGATTCATCCAGATAAGAGGATGCATCTCAGCTGAAGCATCAACTTTAATCAATCAGCTATTAATTTTGCCTGTCATCTGGTGGGGCAGCATCACAGGATGCAATGGTGCGGCCTACACAAACCATATATAGCAACAATTAATGTAATTCTAACTTGCTAAAGTGAAGGTATTATTTTGATGCAAATAAGACTGGCACAAAAGAAAAATAGATTTACCAGGGACATGGGCTAGTGTGCTCGTGCGAAGAGTAGTCATTATGGTAACATAAGATGACACTTTCTGTGCTAAATCATTAACCGTACAATGAAGAATCTGCAAAGCAAGCATAAACAGGATCAACATTTGATCAACATCTGAAAAGAATTAATGGGAAACTCTGTCCAGTGGAATACCTCAAGTGCTTCAGTTGTTGAAGCCTCCCCAAATTTATTTATCAAACATTGTATCTCCTGCTGATAATTGCGGTTAATTGCCTCGACATCACGTTTTGGACTGTAATCCGGTTGAATGCTACGAACAGATGCCAAAGCATCTTCAAACAAGATACGGCTAACTGCAGCCAAACCTTGAAGAGCACAAAGGAATGATAGAACGGTTGCTTTATCGACCTTCCTATGGTAAGTGTCCTCGGCAGTCTTAACAAAGGTCGATACATACATCCTGACAGTCTGCATTTTCAGAGAAATTTTTAGTAGATTCCAGAATTATTATGTGATTTCAAGATTTGGTCAAAGAACAGCATCCAAATAAAACCTTAACCGAGTTACCTGATCTATTGTATTGAGAGAAATTTCACTTGGCGTTTGAGCTCTCAATTGAGCGCCAGTCTGTTTTTCACAGGGGTGGGGAAGTTGGTTAGACAAAGTTCAGTAAAATTGCTAGCATAATGCATATTAAGAAAGAGCACAATTACCATAATTGTAGAAGCCAACCCGATAGCATCTTTAGCTCTTTTGAGAAGAGTCAGTGCTAACATCCTGCCTTGCCCATACTACAGTACCCACCAAATAAAACATGATCAGCTTTAGCAACAAGCAAGACAAAAGTTCATAGTAACATTACGACATCATCCTATAATTTTGAATTTCAGTAAAAAAATTACAACAAATTAATTGCTATTTCTATTATACATTTGAAGTTAACACATAACCACAATGACTATTGACAAGTGCTCACACAATCTCCAGCGTCTTATATATATATATTTTGTTTTCAAAGAAAGTTTATATTATTGAACTTGTTTATCTCCTTTAAAACTTTAGATTTTGCACTAATGCAACAGACTTTTACATTCATATTCACAAGTCCTAAAGTTAAAGGTTGAGGCGCTAAATTAAATTATGTGACCGCTACAAAATTGCTTATTGAATTGAAGCATATTGCTGAAGATTAGAATTTTGTCTTGGAGCGGAAATGCTACTTCCAACGTTGTATTAGATATGCTAAATAACTAAATGCATGTTTAATTCTGATTGTAGTGTGTTATTGAAACAGCTTCTATTCCTAACCATCTCATAATTCCTTGAGTATTACTACCATTAGCATTTTTATTGAACCATGATGTGCTTATTCGAAGCCCATATATATCTCCTTAGGAATTGCTAGAATCAACAAACATGTATCCTTTGGCTATATAGTGATTCTTCTTTTGCCGATTACCTCTACAAAAACCAATGGTCTAATCAAAATAAAAGGTGGACACTGTTTACTTGTTTTAGTGCTAAACAAAACAAAAACTCCAGCATATTATCTTGTTTTAGTGCTAAACAAAACAAAAACTCCAGCATATTATGAACAGTACTGACCAAATAGCATATCTTCGCTGAACGTATCTCCGTCCAATACCCTTTAATTTTGTTTATCTCATAATTGAATGGTGTATCGTCCTGCTTGCAAAGCAAAAGGGGGGGCATTAGAAATTAAATAATAAAGCAACAATGCAATAGTTTTGACGTTACATTATATCAAGGAGGCAAGCTTTCCATTAGATATATTAGTAGCTATTCCCTCCGTTTCTTATTATAAATTGTTTGACTTTTTTACCAGTCAAACTTCTTTAAGTTTGATCAAGTTTATAGAAAAATATAATATTTTCAATGCAAAACAAACATTGTATCAAAATAAATTTAATGCTAAATTTAATAAAACTAATTTCGTGTTATAGATGTTAATTTTTTCCTATAGATTTGATCAAACCTAAAGGATTTTAACTAGAAGAAAAAATCAAACGACTTATAATATAAAACAGAGTGAGCAGTATACATTTAGCTAGCTTGCTCCTTTAAATTTGGTTTCTTGATGCTACTCCGACATTACTACTGCTTCCGTTGTTGAACTTTCTAGTGAAACTTGCTCTTTCACTTAGGTTTCTTGATTCCTGACATTACTAGTGCATGCTAGCTTCCATCGTTGTCTTTGTTTGCCATTTGCACTAAATAATTCACTATTGTTAATTGAGCTTAGATAATGTGCTAGGAATTTTTATTTGGGAAAAATATACAAACAATACAAAATTTCGATTAGTCAAAATTAACTACAATCCCCATATGAATGAATGGTTGACGTTTTCTATTGGAGATAAGTTAAGCCATATATAGATGGTGACAGTCATGATATCCCACATTCTCCGGTTTCGCTGCTCGTTCGTGTGCTTTAATATTAACCAGGCTTGAGCAGATGATAATTAAAATTCATGCATAGAAAGTATGAGTTCAGCAAAAGATTTTTTAAAAAAAGGTGTGAGTACATGATTAGAACAAACCATATCATCCTTTTTGATTGATCGACGAGCTCTTAATTCATCCGCACAGTGCTGGAGCTCTTCAATTATGTCCTGAAACTTACGAGAGAGCTGGTGCGATGGAGGCTAAATAGAAGAACAAAAAAACAATTAATCAATATGCTGTCAATTTCGATCTAATCTAACTAATGGCAGATTAAGCTAGGAAGCAGCTGTCTGTTTTTGATATATATATACCTGATGGGGATCACCCTCCTCTGCTGGGCCGGGTGGTCGTCGGCGGTGCCTTCTTCTGGCAGCGGACGACGACGTGGCGCAGGCGAGCCGTCGCCTGCGCCTGGAGAGGCAGCCGCGGCGGCGGCGAAGACGACGAAGCAGGCAGAGCCACGCGGGTCCATCGCGACACAGAGAAGGACGACGTCGCCGGCGGTACAACGACGTGGGTAGGAGGGTAAGGGA